ATAATAGCTAAATTATAGGAAAATGACTTTACAAACTTGGAATATGAATGAACTTCTTAAATAATATTTCAAAAAGGAGAAAACATCAAAGTTTTGACAGGTCTAATGCATCAAAAATTATAGATTTTTATTCAACAAAGAACATCATACACAATATTAATAAATGTATAGCAGACTAAGAAATTATATTTATACTATCCATGGTAGACAGATGGTTAATTAATTATTTGGGTATTTAAAAAAACACCAATATTAAAAGGGCATAGGCAATAAACAGTTAATTCAACCTAGAGAATCCTAAAATGCTTAAACTAAATAAATAAAAGTGCAATCAAATCTCAGTAGCAATTAGAAAAATGCAAATTAAAATAGCAGAGGGACCACTTATAGCCATCAGAGTTGGAAAAATCTGAAAGTCAGCTAATGCTAAATCTTGATAGAATGTGTTGAAATAGAAATCCTCATGTTCTGCAAGATGTATGCAGTGTTAGATATAATATGTAGAACATTTTGGAAGTACTTAGTTAAATTAAACATACACTCACCCCCTATCTAGAATGATGTTAAAATTTGTCATACAATCTGATACTTCATAAATATCCTATGATAATTGGGATAAATTGGGACTGTTCTGGATAAACCAGGAGACATTGTCACCAAATACATCACATCAATCGCATCCTAAATGTATCAAAAATTAGAGCAAGTGTCAATATAGAGACATGTGCTATGTTCATTATACTACATTGCCGCAGTCTGGCTGGGCACACAATCAGGAGCCACCACACAGCTTGTAGATTCAAACAGCCACTCTTTATTCCCGAACTCACACCAGCCGTCTACAATCACGTTCTGGGGAAATCCACGTTCTCTGCCCAAATCCACCTCTCTGCCCAAATCCACATCCACTGGGCTTCTGTCTCCAAAAAATACTGTCTGAATCCCGTGAGAACTCAAGGGGAACTCAGGCAGCAGGATATGCCCTATTCCCAGCAGGAATAATCTTAAACCTTAAACCTGGAACCTAAACTGGGAATGCCTAAACCCGATTATCTTAAACCCGGAACACCCTAATCCGCCCTGGTCCTTGAGCAAGGTCACCTACATTCAATGTCACTGCAAAATGTCAGCAACATGGGGTACGCTGGCAAGGAAATTGTCATACCTACTTGGCTAATGGCTCCCAGCACTACATTGAAGGTATAATATGAAAGTTAAATGTTCCCTTTAGGGAAGGACAAAAAAATTAATTGAAGTTAGATATAGTGAAAAAAATTACATTAGGTCACATTAAACATTATTGTTAAATGAAGCAATAAACCTTATATATTCTTCTGTGATACATGACTATTCAAACATATGCTATCTATGGGTTGGGTGTAGACTAGAAAGACAAAATGGTAGTATAAATTTAAGTAGAAGAAAAATGTGAATAAAAATTACAGAAAAGACTGGAGTAGAACTAATAAATATAATTAATCCAATTCAACATAAATAATTCTTAGAATTATAATATAAATATAACTAAGCCATGTACTCTGTCTATATAACTTTGCCAATCTGTGTCTAACCATGTGTAACATCAAAATTGATTATCTTTACAGCACTCTGTTAAGAATCATAACAGGTGTCTGGATGTTTGAGGAATCCTAGTTGCAATGTTAGTGTGGAAATCTTTTTGCTTCAAAGTCACCTCTTTGTATTTATTGGTAAATTGATTGAAGAGCACTTTTATTTCTAAGCTGCTTCAGACAAAAGAAAAACAAACAAACAAACAAAAATCCCAAAGGTAAAAAGTAATCCTAAAAGCATAAAATGTTTTGATTCGTTGAGATTTTTTGATCTTCTATCATCAGTAAAAATAATAAGTGAATAAGTTTTTACAAATTGATGCTTTGGATGGTAAACTTAGAGGAGAATGAAAGTTTAAATCAATGCTTATGAAAGACTAATTTTTAAAAAATAATTTAAAACTGTATCCACAAAAGTTACAAGCTATTGAGATTCCTTGTGGGCATTATGTGTATCTAATGAAAATAAGAATTATTTTGGCATTGGAGCGCGTGGACATTCCTTATTTCTCCCCCTCGACTGCATAAGTCGCAATTTTGCTCCCTCTCAACACAGTGTATGAATGCTTGTGTCATATGGAGTGTTAGCCATCTGAAGGACAGGAGAAAGAAGGTGACCCTTGACCTCAAAGTCATTGGCAACTACTTCTTGAGGCCTGACTAAGACTCTAGAGTGGGTCAGATTAGGTTCACCTTACTGGCACATTCCTCAAAAATTCCCTCACTTAAAGTTTCCATTATCTCCTAAGATCCTCAAAAACCTAGTGACCATGTATTGAGCATGACTGGGATTTGGGAAGGATGGATTTAGTCATTTCTTACCATCACAGGCCCAAAATCCCTTTGTCTAATTCCAGGTTTTAAACACACTAATGTGTTAGTCATACTTGCAAAGTTGATATTACTACTTATGAAAGATGAAAATGGTATTCTAGTCCCTTATTTCTTATATATCTATTACTTTTCTATCCAGCTATTTATTATCACTTGGTATTATTCTTCTGAAACTCAGTATATTAAGAAATAGCTATAAACATACACAATCACACTGCCTTATAGTCATCTGCCTTTAGTCCTCTAAAGAATTAACTTTACATTAGCAACTCTGCACTCTTACATAATCCATGTTGTATTTGTCACAAGTGCTTCTAAACATTTTATTTGAAATAATTATAGTCACAGGAAGTTGCAAATGCAGAGAAATTCTTATATACCATCCACCTAGTTGCCTCTAATGGTTTCATCTTTCTTAACTATAGAACAAAATGAAAGTCAGGAAGTCAACTTGGTACAATGTGTGTGTATAGTTCTTCACTGTTCTGTTATGGGTAAAATTTGTAAATACCACCATGATCAAGATACAGAACGATTCCATTACACCAAGCAACACCATCATGCTAGCCCTTTATAATCACCTCTTTCACCCTCCACTCCATCATCCATAATTACTGATTTCAGGGAAGAAAAAACAATTATGTTTCTCTCTCCTGTCATTACCACTTTTGTTTAAGGAAGACCCTACAACAAACTCTAATCTATCAACAGATTGTAAACCTCTAATCTATTTTCCATCTCCATAATTATGCCACTTCTAAATTGTTATGTAAACAGTACATATAGTATATGACCTTTAAAGATTGTTTTTTCCTACTCAGTATAACTCCCTTGAAATCCAACCAAGTGTGTATGTAAATATTTAATTTCTTTTTGTTACTTACTAGTATCCTATGGTGTAGATGAAAAACCAGCCTCTACCTCAGAGCAAAGCCATCCAAGGAAGGGGGCGTGATCTTTGTCCTTGGGAAGACCCACAGAGCACTCCTAGGCACATACCCACACTGCTGAGTTGTTTATCTACAAATAACAGGAGAGATCTGCTGCCCCAGGCCCCAAATCCCTGCTTTCCCTCTTAAATGGAGAAAACTTAATTTTTGTACTATGTTTATCCCCATTTATGGAAGTATATTTGACTGCATTGAGCATTCCAGAGGGGAAAAGCCAATAGCTTTTGTGCGTGTTGTACTAAACACGTTCCTGAAATCCATGTTTCCTGGACAAGTTTTGAATTTTTCCTAATGTCTTATATATATATATATATATATATATATATATATATATATATATATATATATATATATTGTAGATGTGAAGCCAGATTTAAAGTTAGGTAGTCAGTGTAGTTAGGTAAATCGGGTCTAATATCCAGTGAAATCTAAAATGGAGACCATGCGGAGAATGACTCAGGGAAAACACAGGACAACTCATGGAATGTTAATGAAGTCCCTAAAAGGCCCTAGGCCAAAGTCCACCTCAAAGAAATGTTAATGAACAGCCCCCAGCAAAAAGGTGCTGACTCAGAAGTCCTTCCAGACCAGATTACTTCTTTGGCCCACCTGTGTCCCACCCCTCAGGCCTTCCAACCTACATTCCACCACCAAAACTATAAAAAGGGGAAACAACCGCACTTCCACGGATTCCACCTCTTGGGTCCCCTTCTTCCTCCGGGAGAAGTCTTTTCTGCTGTCCTTTAATAAACTTCTAATTTCTACTCTGACCTTGCCTCGGCGTGCTTCTTTGGTGTTATTCTTCAACATTGGGGAAGCAAGAACTCGTCACCGGTCTGGGTTAGCAGCAACCCTGCCAGAATCTTCCCCATATCCCCAGGTTGGAGATCAAACCCATCACCCATCGCCTTGCCATGGACATGCACTCTACAACTGAGATACACTCCCTAACATGCTGCCAGAGTATTTTAAACAAAAATTGAAGCTATTAAGAGTGAAAAGCAAGAGGCCCCAATTGAAGAGATTGAGCTGTGGCCCTGGTGATTTGCTGAATATTTGCCAAATATTGTGATGCTTTAATCAGCATCTATGACATTAAGAATTCACAATTAGAAAACAGAGAAGTTCTTGGGCATCTGAAAATGAGAATCACTGTACTGTATTTAACTAAGACAACTTTGGCATGACATTTGGAAAAGGGCCAACTGTGTAATGAACTTGGTCTCATTCAGGCTCTGTCATTTAACTCTCAAAATAGTGGGACCTATCAGAACTGGAAAAAGCCTCTGGAACATCTGAGACAAGGCTCAAGCGCTTGGTGTATCAGGAACACTTGGCAACATGGGCGAGTTTACAATGAAATGAAACCTAACATGTATAGAGTCCCCGCTATGTAATAATGGGAAAGATAATGGACGCCTAGGCAACCAACCTTAGTAGCTAGGCTGGGGGCAGGTCTAAAGCACAATCTCTACAGAGGCTGAGAAGGACAGAGAGAGATGCCTGGGGAAGAAGCTTATGCTGGATAGAACTGAAGCGTGGGATCCTGGGGTTTGCAACTGAACCATGAAATAAAGGAAGCAGAATTCTGGTCCTTGAAATTTAACTGTGACTTAATAGAAAATTCTTAATTAGTGAGATCAAGATGGGAAACTCGAATTCACAGGAAGAAGAAGATAGGTCTTCGGCCCAACGCAGAAGTCAGATAGATCAATTGGCTCGAGAAGAAGCATTCTATCGATTTGTGAATAACCTGAGTGAAGAAGATTACAATCTTATGAGGGATAACAATTTGCTAGCCACCATAGGTGAAAGTACAGAAGAAGAACTGATGAGAAGACTACAACAAATTAAAGAGGCTCCACCACAGGAATTGGGTAAATAGGGGCAGATTTTGCTTCGGGGATAATAGGATGGGATGGATATGAAACTGGTTGTGCGGTTAGGAATCCAACCAGGACCTACCTAGCACGTGCTAGGCAAGTCCTCCGCCACTGAGCTTCATCCCCATCCTGATAAGGAACTTCATAACAGTAAATTCGGTCAGATGTCCTTGTCAGATTAATGTGGTGCTAAGTGACTACACATAAAAAGGTGCAGTGGCAAATCCCAGCGTCTCTCATGAGACTGAGGCAGGAGAATCTCAAGCTCGGAGCCAGCCTCTGCAATTTTTCGAGACCCTGCCTCAAGGTAAAAATAAAAGGAGCTGGGCATGCAACTCGCTGATAGAATATAATATATTCCAATTCACTTTGGGGAAGTTTTTAATTAGACAATGTGAGAAATACCCTATGAATTTTTTCTTGGTTTTCACTCTCCCTCCGTGTAAAATGCTTTATTCTTCTTAATTATTCTATAGAGACGTATGTTTTTTTCTTTTGCTTAACTGTATTAATTTTACTAATTGTGTTCAGTGTGATAGTTTCACACATGCATACATAGTAAGTACACTGATCAGATCCAACAACCATTGGCCACCCTCTTGCACATACATCTTGCAAAACTCTATTAATCACTGTCTACATTCAGGTCAACCTTTTATAGCTTCTACATATGGTACTTGTGGTACTTGTTCTGTATCTGGCTTATTTCTCTTAACATAATGTCCTCCAGTTCCATCCATTCTAGTATGAATGAAGGATTCCATTCTTCTTTATGGGTGAAAAGACTCCATTGGGTTATACACCACATTCTTTTATACCCAATTGTTGATGTGAAAATAGGATGATTCTATATCTTAGCTATTGTTAATAGTGCTACAGTTAATATGGGAATGCAACTATCTCTTTGGCATGCTCATTTTATTTCTTTTAGATATATACTTAGAAATGAGATAGCTGGCTCTTATGGTCAAAGTATTTTCATATTTTTAAGGAATCTTCATACTCTCCTTCATAATGACTATCCTTAATTCACATTCCCACCAACACTGTATAGGAGTTCCTCTGTCTCTACATACTCACCAGCATTTATATTTTGATAATAGCCATTCTAATTGGGGTGAGATATCTCATTGTAGTTTTGATTTGCATTTCCCTGATGACTAATGCTATTGTATCTTTTTCATATATTGGCCATTTGTATTTCTCATTTTGAGAAGTCAGATGTGATTTCTTTTTTTTAATATTTATTTCTTAGTCTAGTTGGACACAATTCCTTTATTTTATTTATTTGTATGTGGTGCTGAGAATCCAACCCAGGGCCTCGCGTGTGCTAGGCGAGTGCTCCATCATTGAGCCACAACCCCAGCCCCAGATGTGATTTCTTTTTTTTTTTTTTTTTTTTTTTTAATTTTTTATTGTGGGTTGTTCAAAACATTACAAATTTCTTGACATATCATCTTCCACACTTTGATTCTAGTGGGTTATGAACTCCCACCTTCACCCCATACACAGATTGCAGATTCACATCAGTTACACATCCATTGATTTACAAATTGCCATACTAGTGTCTGTTGTGCTCCGCTGCCTTTCCCCTCATCCACCCTCCCCCCTCCCCACCTCTCCCCTCCCCTCCCCTCCTCTCTCTCTACCCCCTCCACTGTATAACCCTGAGGGTCTCCTTCCATTACCGTGCAATTTCCCTTCTCTCTCCCTTTCCCTCCCACCTCTCATCCCTGTTAAATGTTAATCTTCTTCTCCTGTTCTTCGTCCCTACTCTGTTCTTAGTTACTTTCCTTATATCAAAGAAGACATTTGGCATTTGTTTTTTAGGGATTGGCTAGCTTCACTTAGCATAATCTGCTCTAATGCCATCCATTTCCCTGTAAATTCTATGATTTTGTCATTTTTTAATGCAGAGTAATACTCCATTGTGTATAAATGCCACATTTTTTTTATCCATTCGTCTATTGAAGGGCATCTAGGTTGGTTCCACAGTCTTGCTATTGTGAACTGTGCTGCTATGAACATCGATGTAGCAGTGTCCCTGTAGCATGCTCTTTTTAGGTCTTTAGGGAATAGACCAAGAAGGGGAATAGCTGGGTCAAATGGTGGCTCCATTCCCAGCTTTCCAAGAAATCTCCATACTGCTTTCCAAATTGGCTGCACCAATCTGCAGTCCCACCAGCAATGTACAAGTGTACCCTTTTCCCCACATCCTCGCCAGCACTTGTTGTTGTTTGACTTCCTAATGGCTGCCAATCTTACTGGAGTGAGATGGTATCTTAGGGTGGTTTTGATTTGCATTTCTCTGACAGCTAGAGATGTTGAGCATTTTTTCATGTACTTGTTGATTGACTGTATGTCCTCCTCTGTGAAGTGTCTGTTCAGGTCCTTGGCCCATTTGTTGATTGGGTTGTTTGTTCTCTTATTGTCTAATTTTTTAAGTTCTTTGTATACTCTGGATATTAGGGCTCTATCTGAAGTGTGAGGAGTAAAGATTTGTTCCCAGGATGTAGGCTCCCTATTTACCTCTCTTATTGTTTCTTTTGCTGAGAAAAAACTTCTTAGTTTGAGTAAGTCCCATTTGTTGATTCTAGTTATTAACTTTTGTGCTATGGGTGTCCTATTGAGGAATTTGAAGCCCGACCCCAACGACTGTAGATCGTAGCCAACTTTTTCTTCTATCAGACGGCGCGTCTCTGATTTGATATCAAGTTCCTTGATCCATTTTGAATTCACTTTTGTGCATGGCGAGAGAAAGGGATTCAGTTTCATTTTGTTGCATATGGATTTCCAGTTTTCCCAGCACCATTTGTTGAAGATGCTATCCTTCCTCCATTGCATGCTTTTAGCCCCTTTATCAAATATAAGATAGTTGTAGTTTTGTGGATTGGTTTCTGTGTCCTCTATTCTGTACCATTGGTCCACACGCCTGTTTTGGTACCAGTACCATGCTGTTTTTGTTACTATTGCTCTGTAGTATAGTTTGAAGTCTGGTATCGCTATACCGCCTGATTCACACTTCTTGCTTAGCATTGTTTTTGCTATTCTGGGTCTTTTATTTTTCCATATGAATTTCATGATTGCTTTCTCTATTTCTACAAGAAATGCCATTGGGATTTTGATTGGCATTGCATTAAACCTATAGAGAACTTTTGGTAATATCGCCATTTTGATGATGTTAGTTCTGCCTATCCATGAACAGGGTATATTTTTCCATCTTCTAAGATCTTCTTCTATTTCTCTCTTTAGGGTTCTGTAGTTTTCATTGTATAAGTCTTTCACCTCTTTTGTTAGGTTGATTCCCAAGTATTTTATTTTTTTTGAAGATATTTTGAATGGAGTGGTTGTCCTCATTTCCATTTCAGAGGATTTGTCGCTGATATACAGGAATGCCTTTGATTTATGCGTGTTGATTTTAAATCCTGCCACTTTGCTGAATTCATTTATTAGCTCTAATAGTTTCTTTGTAGAGCCTTTTGGGTCTGCTAGATATAGAATCATATCATCTGCAAATAGTGATAATTTAATTTCTTCTTTTCCTATTTTTATGCCTTTAATTTCTTTCGTCTGTCTAATTGCTCTGGCCAGTGTTTCGAGAACTATGTTGAAGAGAAGTGGAGAGAGAGGGCATCCCTGTCTTGTTCCAGATTTTAGAGGGAATGCCTTCAGTTTTTCTCCATTCAGAATAATGCTAGCCTGAGGCTTAGCATAGATTGCTTTTACAATATTGAGGTATGTTCCTGTTATCCCTAGTTTTTCTAGAGTTTTGAACATAAAGGGATGCTGTACTTTGTCAAATGCTTTTTCCGCATCTATCGAGATGATCATATGGTTCTTATTTTTAAGTCTATTGATGTGGTGAATAACATTTATTGATTTCCGTATATTGAACCAGCCTTGCATCCCAGGGATGAATCCTACTTGATCATGGTGTACAATTTTTTTGATATGTTTTTGTATCCGATTCGCCAGAATTTTATTGAGGATTTTTGCATCTAGGTTCATTAGAGATATTGGTCTGTAGTTTTCTTTCTTTGAAGTGTCTTTGTCTGGTTTAGGTATCAGGGTGATGTTGGCCTCATAGAATGAATTTGGAAGTTCTCCCTCCTTTTCTATTTCCTGAAGTAGCTTGAAAAGTATTGGTATTAGTTCTTCTTTAAAGGTTTTGTAAAATTCTGCTGTATACCCATCGGGACCTGGGCTTCTCTTAGTTGGTAGTCTTTTGATGGTTTCTTCTATCTCCTCAATTGATATTGGTCTGTTTAGGTTTTCTATATCCTCCTGACTCAATCTGGGCAGATCATATGACTTAAGAAATTTATCTATGCCTTCACTATCTTCTAATTTATTGGAGTATAAGGATTCAAAATAGTTTTTGATTATCTTCTGTATTTCTGAAGTGTCTGTTGTGATATTGCCTTTTTCATCCCGTATGCTAGTAATTTGAGTTCTCTCTCTTCTTCTCTTCACTAGCATCGCTAAGGGTCTGTCGATTTTGTTTATTTTTTCAAAGAACCAACTTTTAGTTTTGTCAATTTTTTCAATTGTTTCTTTTGTTTCGATTTCATTAATTTCAGCTCTGATTTTAATTATTTCTTGCCTTCTACTTCTTTTGCTGTTGTTTTGCTCTTCTTTTTCAAGGATTTTGAGATGAAGTATGAGATCATTTATTTGTTGGTTTTTTCTTTTTTTAAGGAATGAACTCCAAGCAATGAATTTTCCTCTTAGAACTGCTTTCAATGTGTCCCATAGATTCCGATATGTTGTGTCTGTGTTTTCATTTATCTCTAAGAATTTTTTAATTTCCTCCTTGATGTCTTCTATAACCCATTGATCATTCAGTAACCTATTGTTCATTCTCCAATTGATGTATGCTTTTTCCTTCCTTCTTTTATCGTTGATTTTCAGTTTCATTCCATTATGATCAGATAAGATGCATGGTATTATCTCTACTTCTTTATATTGTCTAAGAGTTGCCCTGTGACATAATA